ATAATTTCATTATAATGATTAAAATCTGTTTTAGGAATCGTGTTTCCTTTAGGAAATTACTTGGCAAATTCTTAAACAAAATGAAAAATTATAATAATAAAACAAAAACTTTTGTGCTTGAGTGACACGTAACCTAGTAAAATAGTTTATGAGATAATAGTAAAGCTCAAAATAATAGCAGTAAATATATATGACTTATAAAGCTTAACATGGGCACTGTATAAATCCACCGTTGAAGCTTTTAATAAACTATGAAGAGCTGTACAATTAAAGCTTATTATTAAATATAGTTTCACAATTAAAACTTATAATGAACTACCTAAAGCTCTATAATTAAAGCTTTTTATGGATTTTTTACAGATCTTCAATTTAAAGCTTATCACATACTATTTAAGATCTAAAATTATAGGTTATAATGAACTTTAAATAGTCCACAATAGAAACTTATAATGAACCATATAAAGATCTAAAACTGGAGCTTATTATAGACTATATAATGATATACAATTAAAGCTTATAATGTACGACATAAAGCTTCATAATTGAAGATTATCATGTGCCTTATAAACATCCACAATTAAAGCTTATTAAGGACTATAAGAAGATCCACAATTGAATCCTATCATGAATTATTTAAAGATCTTTAATTAAAACTTATTATTGACTATATAGAATCTTACAATTAAAGTTTACAATAGGCTACATAAAGCTCCATGATTGAAGCTTGTCACAGACTGAATAAATTTCAATAACTAAAGCTTACCAAAAACTATAAAAAGATCTACAATTAAAGCTTATCATGGACTATATAGAGATTTACAATTAAACTTCACAATAGGCTACATAAAGCTCCATGATTGAAGCTTGTCAAAGACTGAAGCTTACCAAGAACTATAAAACAATCTGAACGATTAAAGCTTGTCAAAGACTGAATAAAGATCAACAACTGAAGCTTACCAAGAACTATAAAACGATCTACGATTAAAGCTTATCATGGACTATACAGAGATTTACAATTAAAGTACACAATAGGCTACATAAAGCTCCATGATTGAAGCTTGTAAAAAAACTGAATAATAAAAAGTTCTACAATTGAAGCTTATCAATGACTGTAAGAAAATCTACAATTAAAGCTTATCTTGGACTATATGAAGATCAATAATTAGAGCTTATCATGGACTATTTAAAGATTTACAATTGAAGCTTATCACGAACTATGTTAAGCCTAACGATTTAAGTTTATCATATAAACGCAAAGACTATATAAAGATCCACAATTGAAGCTTACAAAGGACTTTAAGAAGATCTATAATTGAATCTTATGATGAATTACATAAAGTTCCATAGTTTAAGATTAGCATGGACTATATAAATATCTACAAATTGCAGCTTATAATGTACTAAAGCTCCATGACTAAAGCTTTTCATGAACTATATAAAGATCTGCAATTAAAGTTAACCATAACCTATACAAATATCTAATATTAAAGCTTATGATAGACTAGAAGATGGACAATACTCTTTGATAACAACGAAAACTTTTCATAAAGTTTCTAAAACTTTTTAAAAGCGTTCCTTTAAACATATGTATTAACAACATACCAAATATGCATTAAA